TAACTACATTCGCGTAAGTTGCCAATAACTCTGAGTGGTATGTTCTATTAGTTACATTTCAGTCTTCGTTCTACCTAATTTCTCTGCAGTATTTTACCTCAATAATTTCATCCACATCTTTTTTAGGGGAAGTGGTCTTCTCATTTATATTGTTTTTCCTGGTTGTTCTCCTCTCTGTCTGACCATTATAAGGATTCTGCACCTCAATATTAATGATCCCAAAGCTTAAGCCCTTTTCCTTCTATCTTCTCATCTGTTCACAAGCCTTCAACCGCCATCTACTAATTACAGTTTAATCTGAGAGTTATGCTAATGACTCTCAAATCTATGTTTCCAAAAATCCTTTCCTGAGATCCAAATTGCTATTAACTCTCAACCAGATTCTTTCAGGTAGATGTCCCATAGAGACCTCAAACTCAATGTATCTAAAATTCATTCACCCTTCCCTACCCCTTGTCAAAACCTGCTTCTAAATGCCTATTGTCTCCTCACTTGGTTGATGACAGTGCTATCCTCCAACAATTGGGATCTACAGAATTTTAAATTTTCATTCCCCAGCTCTGATTTGTCCTTATCTTGAAAGTTTTTAACATTCATCTTTAAAATAACATCCTTGTCCACTTGAAATGATTGATTTTCACTGACATTGCTTTACATTAGCCATACCTTCTCTTTTTAACTGGTCTCCTGCTTGGACTCTTATCTGACATTCTCATCCCACAGACATATGTAAGAGTTAAGTTTCTAAAACATGGATCTAAACAAATGGCTTTTCTTATTGCCGAAAGGATAAGGCACAAAATCTTTCAGAAACTGACCCTAAACTCTAGCTGAACCATGTAGACATGTCTCCTCACTGCTTCCTTCATAGGCACTAGTTTCCTTCCCATTTCATGTGGTACCATGAATTCCTATACTTTTGAGCCTTTTCTTAAGTATTTTTTAGTCATGCACTGTTCCATAGGCTCTACTCCAGCAAATGATTTTGTGAATCCCTCAAGATTCCAAACTACAATCACCTTCACTGTTGTCTCCTCACATGATGTCTCATGCACACACACTCTAGAAGTTAATAAAAGTAATCACTCCACTGCTAAGTTTCCATTCACTTCGTAGACACTTCAAGTAGAACAGATTGTTTTGGATGGTTTTTATGTCTGTCTATTTTACCAAACCAAGAATGGCCTAAACCATGAAGACTGTAAAGCTTTCACAGTTAGATGCAGGATGGTTGCAAGTGCTCTTACATTTAAGGACATTGGTCCAGATTCAAAAGGTTTCAGTATTCCCAAAATTATTCACTTTCAAAAAAGGAAAAAGCAGTAGGAAATTTGTGAGTTGCATTTGTGATTTTAGCAGTTTTATTTTAAGTTCTAGGAATAGTAGCAATTGGAAAGGTATGAGATAAAGACTTCTTTATAGTGCTGGATGTTGCCTTTGCCCAGATGATGTAAAAATCTAATTAGGTGCTACTGCTTCTAGATGTTAATTACATAACCAGTAAAGTTCACCATAGTATGCTTCTTTTTAAGTGAAAAAAAAAGAGCAAAATTTCAAACTATCTAAATTTAGCAGTCCTTTGGGTACTCTGCATTTGTTGAATATTGCACAAGTAAATACCCATCTGTTTTGGTACTAATATGATTTTGTATTTCAAGCAGTTTAAAGTTTTTTTCCCCCATGAAAACTTCATCAACTGTTTTATCAACAGTGTAAGCTTCAGGCAGTTCTGTAAAGTTGAGTTGGGATAAATGAAAGATCCTTGTCGAATTGGTAATCATGCAGGTATTGAGAATGAAAGGGAGATCATATTTTAATTTAACTTCAGTGCCTCAAGATATTTTCACTTACAGACTATATTACTGTTCTCTGTCTACATATCCATCTTGTAGATATCATAGCCACTGTTAATAGATTTCAAATAAAGTTTTCCTGGATCTGGGTGATATATATCACTACTTTCTGCAAGGGTCTCCTGAATTATATGAGGGCTTACTCATTATGACATATTAAAATGCTAAATGATTTATAGAAAAATAGAGATATATTGTAATTCTAAAGGCCATTTTTATATTCTATTGACCTTGACATAGTTTAAGTATCATAACTGAAACTATAACTTGATTGTAAGTTCTTTGAGGACGAAATTGATGCCTTACTCTTCTAATTTCCACATAGTCCATGAAACTAAGGGCCTGCTCAGCAGGCCAATAGCTCCTTTCTAAAGAAAAGTAACCAGAAGCAGTATTTGGCATATACCTGCCATAAAAGTGTGTGTCCTGGCTACCTTGACCACAATTTATTGGATCAGATATTGTATCCTGAGCAAAAAGCAACCACTTGGAGACCAAATAAAAAGAGGTCAGCAACTTGTCAGGAAGTGTGACGCCATAACCCAGGCAATAATGTCTCTCCACACTGGATAGTGGTCCACTGCCTATATCAATTAACACTCATAATTGCAAGCCACAGAAACTGACTGGCTGTCAGAAGTGAAAGGAGATTTATTGGCAGGATACAAGATGGCTTATGGAATCAAAGAAGATAGGAATAGCAGGCTTAGAAAATGGGCAAAAAAAAAGACTATACTTTCAGGGATCATTTCTATAGTTTGTTACTAGAGAAGTTTCTCTGAACGTGTAGAGCACCAAATGACTTCAAACTATACTACAAGGCTACAGTAACCAAAACAGCATGGTACTGGTACCAAAACAGAGATATAGACCAATGGAACAGAACAGAGTCCTCAGAAATAATACCACACATCTACAGCCATCTGATCTTTGACAAACCTGAGAGAAACAAGAAATGGGGAAAGGATTCCCTATTTAATAAATGGTGCTGGGAAAATTGGCTAGCCATAAGTAGAAAGCTGAAACTGGATCCTTTCCTTACTCCTTATACGAAAATTAATTCAAGATGGATTAGAGACTTAAATGTTAGACCTAATACCATAAAAACCCTAGAGGAAAACCTAGGTAGTACCATTCAGGACATAGGCATGGGCAAAGACTTCACGTCTAAAACACCAAAAGCAACGGCAGCAAAAGCCAAAATTGACAAATGGGATCTCATTAAACTAAAGAGCTTCTGCACGGCCAAAGAAACTACCATCAGAGTGAACAGGCAACCTACAGAATGGGAGAAAATTTTTGCAATCTACTCATCTGACAAAGGGCTAATATCCAGAACCTACAAAGAACTCAAACAAATTTACAAGAAAAAAACAAACAACCCTATCCAAAAGTGGGCAAAGGATATGAACAGACATTTCTCAAAAGAAGACATTCATACAGCCAACAACACATGAAAAAATGTTCATCATCACTGGCCATCAGAGAAATGCAAATCAAAACCACAATGAGATACCATCTCACACCAGTTAGAATGGCAATCATTAAAAAGTCAGGAAACAACAGGTGCTGGAGAGGATGTGGAGAAATAGGAACACTTTTACACTGTTGGTGGGATTGTAAACTAGTTCAACCATTATGGAAAACAGTATGGCAATCCCTCAAGGATCTAGAACTAGATGTACCATATGACCCAGCCATCCCATTACTGGGTATATACCCAAAGGATTATAAATCATGCTGCTATAAAGACACATGCACACGCATGTTTATTGCGGCACTATTCACAATAGCAAAGACTTGGAATCAACCCAAATGTCCATCAGTGACAGACTGGATTAAGAAGATGTGGCACATATACACCATGGAATACTATGCAGCCATAAAAAAGGATGAGTTTGTGTCCTTTGTAGGGACATGGATGCAGCTGGAAACCATCATTCTCAGCAAACTATCACAAGAACAGAAAACCAAACACCGCATGTTCTCACTCATAGGTGGAAACTGAACAATGAGATCACTTGGACTCGGGAAGGGGAACATCACACACCGGGGCCTATCATGGGGAGGGGGGAGGGGGGAGGGGGGGAGAGATTGCATTGGGAGTTATACCTGATGTAAATGACGAGTTGATGGGTGCTGACGAGTTGATGGGTGCAGCACAGCAACATGGCACAAGTATACATATGTAACAAACCTGCACGTTATGCACTTGTACCCTAGAACTTAAAGTATAATAATAATAATAAATTAAAAATTAAAAAAAAAAAAAGAAAATGGGCAAAAACACAAAAGAGGGCCGGAGAATGGACACCAAGAGTTGTCCGGCTAATACAGCCTCTACCAGGGTTGATATCCACCACTACTGCCATCATTGGATACTGTCAGGAGATGCTGCACCACACACTACCACAAATACACTTTAACCACTTTTCTGATTGTGAGGTTAAAACTTTGGGCTAGATCTTCAGTTGGCTAGGCCTAGATCATGTACTGGTTTTTTTGGCTACAAGAGAGTAGAAAGAGTAAGACCCTCTTTTCAAACGCTTGCAAAATGCAGATAGTTCTTGTGTCCTACCAATGCTTCATATGGTTTAAATTTCCTACAAATAGGAAGGGAAGTGAAATGTCAAATAGCCGAAATATAAAGAACACTATTTGTACTGAGTCTTCTTCTCTGTGGATTTGTTTTTAAATATATATATACACACACACACACACGTGTGTATATATAGATTATATATACATATGTGTGTATATATAGATGTATATGTGTGTGTATATACGTGTGTGTATATATATGTGTGTGTATACATATATGTATATAAAAAACATTGAAAAAATTGAATTGGAAAACCAAATTCAATTCAATTTTCAAAAAAATTGAATTGGAGAGCCAAAAAGGTAATATAGGAAAATGGAGAACGTGAATAGAAGTAGAAATGGAATAAGAGATGCTGAGAAATAAGAGCAGATATATTCATATTGCAAAGTTTTTAATCCTTAAAACAATAGATACCCATTCCTAAAGGAACAACAAGAAAACAAGAGCTGCTCTTTAGAGCTGCTACGCATCTTACAAAATGAGTGTTGGTGTCCCAATCCTCAGAGGCCTAGCTCTTCCTTTACGTAAAACATTTCACTTACCTTTTTGTTTTTCCAGGTATAGTTGTAATAAACTCCCCAGAATGGGGTAACCTCACCATGTTTCCTTTCCTTGACACCTGAAAGATTAAAATAGAGAACTCTCTTTTTACACACAAGCACCCCTTATGATATGTATGCTTATGATCCACCACGTGAGTGTAATAAATACATTGATAAGGAATTTTAGGTTCAAGATTGCTGAAGATTTTAGACAAAATCCAGTATCCATGAATTTCATTTTGAATTTGTGAATACCACACTTATAAAAGGTCATGTTTAAAGCCTTCTCTATCCCACATTTTCACCGAAGACTTCTACCAAAGTCACCCACTTTAGTATTTCCTTAGTAGTATTCTTTCCTTTAGTATTTAGTTTTGAGTATTTAGCTCGAAAAGGGATATCAGTCCACAGAGCTAGCAAAAACAAACAAAATGGTCTAGATATTTGTTTCTAGCTCCTACAGCAGCAGTGGGAAGAAATTCTTTAAAGAACTATACCAACTTGTTATGGATGAGTTCTCCTTAGTCGGAACCATTCATTGCCAAGGGATTGCAGTTTTTCTCTGCTAGCTTATTTAAAATTGCCTCAATAGTAATTCTTTCTTGCTTGGATTTCATAACATTCCCAGGACAGAAGCATGACTTCCCTAGACTCTCTTCATCCTAAATGTATCAGCATGGTGGGTGCTCCAGGGCAGAATGCTGCCTCACACTAGCTTCCTCCCTGTGTTGGTTAATCATTCACTTAACGTGGGATTATAAAAATACTGAGGTTTTGTGCTTGTGGTTGTTTTATAAGTCTAGCACTGAAATACATAAGCTAACTGAATAGACCAACAGATGTATAAAATATCAATTGTTATACTGTTTACACTAATGCTTTGCATTAGGAAAACAAATGCCAAGCTGCTTGAAGTCTGCAAAGAATGAAAACTCCTTATTATACACTTAAATACACTCTTGCCCTTATCCAAAATGAATCCATACATAGTAGGGCAAGCAGCTGCCTGTATTTCATAACCCACTGAGGTCTTTTTAATGTATTCTAAGCAATGATTAGGAAACCTGCTGGGGTTCATTTTGGCTCAGCTGGTCCACAATTTTGAACACCTACTGGTGGTATCAGGAAAATATGTGCATGACCTGTTTCTCCATATATTAAGACCTTCCAAATTATGCTGCATACCCTCATTAATAAGCAAACTATGGATAACACCCTTTTTGTATGGTAGATAAAACTAGCATTTGAATTTAAAGATAAATAATATCCCACACATAAGGAAAGTTCAAGCTCCTTTTTTACTCAGTATAAAGGATTCAACAAAAGAATAAACTATTCTGAAATGCTTTAATGTAGAGAATTTGGAGGTATCCTAATTACTGCGAAATATGGCCAATGTATGGCTCTCGAAGAGTTTTTTGTTTACCTATGAAGATAAGCCTATTAAGCCTGTGTCAATCTTGGTTTTAGAATAAAACATGATAAAAGCTAAGACAAGGGAAATAGACCTGAAAATATACACCATAGGTAAAGAAAAACATTAAAAAGACGAAAGGAATGGCTGCCCCTAAGTGACAGACAAGTCATGGATCAAGTATGGGAGCAAGGTGGGCAACTTCAGGTCAATTCAGGCAGGCACGGAGGCTCAGAGGGATCCAGTCCAGAAAGAAGTGAACAATGGATAAAGTCTAGAAATGTGGAGTACAGATAGTGGGAAGGGAGAACTAGACTTCAAACAAGCAGAATGGATTATGAAAGCTAAATCAGACATTAGAATGGAGTACAGTTCAGAACAGAGGGCACTAAAGGCTCAACACACCTGGAAGAAGTTTCATCAGACCTCTCAATGAAATTTTATCTTATTTCATTTTATTTTATTCTATTCTATTCTATTCTATTTTTTGAGACAGAGTCTTGCTCTGTTGCCCAGGCTGGAGTGCAGTGATGCAATCTCGGCTCACTGCAGCCTCCACCTCCTGAGTTTAAAGGATTCTCATTCCTCAGCCTCCTGGGAGGAGGGATTACAGGTATGTGCTACCACGCCTGGATTTTTTCTTTTTTTTTCTTTTCTGTACTTTTAGTAGAGACAAGGATTCGCCATGTGAGCCAGGGTAGTCTTGAACGCCTGGCCTCAAGTGATCCACCTTCCTCAGTCTTCCAAATGGCTGGGATTACAGGCATGAGCCAATGTGCCCAGCCTCTCAATGATGTTTTTAAGAGGTTTGTCATTGATTGTATCTGTAAGAGGCAAAGAATTGGAATGAGGATTAGTATATACACTGATTTCTCTGGCCATCCTCCCTTGATGGATAATTTTGTCTTGCGGACACAAAGGTATCATCATCTCTTTTATCCATGGGCTTCTGCACAGTAGCCGAGTGCCACATCACAATAATGACTTTGAGCAAGTTCTGAATCAACATAGCAAGTAGGTGTCCAAACTCTGTAGGGATGTCTCTGAGTTGTCTTTTGGCAGAGGTCACTCAATCACTGTCTCCTACCATGTCCCTAAAAGCAGTCTTTTTCTAGAAGAAAAATAGCCCTGCTTCCTGGGATTGGGCGTTTTCTTTCCCCTGAGCATATATTGGCTATTGCTGGGTAGGTCACCAGCAAGGCTCAGCTGTATTCAGGACATTCTAAGAGACCTTGTTCTGTCAAGCCAAAGGTAGAACTAGAATTCAGAAGAAACTTGAGAAATTCAGCATAGCTTTCTGAATTCCTCTCAGTGAGATATCCTGAGGTCACTTGGGCAAGTTTTTTTTCTTCTTTGACTTTCCTAGAATATAGCCTAATCCTTTTACAGGGAGAATTCTTCATTCAAGTAGAGAACTGTCGTGTCAGTTGAGTCCTCCAGGAATCAGACACAGAGAGGGAATTAGGAGGGCAAAAGGTTTATTGGAGAGAAATGCTTGTGAAAAGAAAAAAGAGGAAGCAGAATTGGAAAAGGGGAGCCATCGGACCCTGATACAGACACAGGAAAAATCTTTGGCAGCCCAGTAGGGAGCTTCAGGACAAAGAGTGCCTATTAGAGGAGTCCCACATTCACCAGAAATAGCTAGACCCTTGTACTACAGTTTTGCTGTCATTCACTGGGGTCTCCCTGAAAGGGGCATGACCCCAGTTTAGAAGTGAGGCATACCTAAAGGAGGAAGCAGTTAGAGGCAGTCATCTCACCACACTCTTGCAGCTGGGCCAGTGTCTGTTCCTGAAGGTAGATCTGAGTGGTTCATATCTGTGGCTGTTGCAGTTGCCTGCTTCTGCATGTATTTTTCTAAGACCTTTTCAGAAATTAATTACCTTAGCATATCTACTCACCAGTTCTGGTGAAAGGTTATGCGACTCAACATTTCAGAAAGTTATGTAGAGGGTAGACCCTCTGCCATGCAGGGTTGAGCCCTGCTTCCATTTCTTTGATGCAATATGGGATTCCTGGAATAGAGACAAGGTATTTACATAATAAGATAGCAATAGTGCTACAGTGCCCCTGAGAGGCTCAGTGTCCAGAATAGCACATGAAACTGTGGGCAGAAGGTGTTCATTGATCTGTTTATTTGGGCAGGTACCTCTCAAACTTCGTTACCATGGCCAGGTGAGGCAGTGGATTTCCTATTGGGATTAGCCAGCAGAAGCAAGATAATTCTATGAAATCTGAATCTGATTCTGTAGGGACAAATTGTGGCAGAGGAGATTTGAAATTTGAACAGCTTTCAGGGCTGATCTCTACAATTAACACTGCCATTTGAGAGTAAAGAAGTGAGCTGCTGGGGAGAATCTGAGAGTCCTCACAGAGAATTAAAATGGTGCCTGAAAGAATGCTGGCAGTCAGGAATTAACTAAACAGTGAGTAGTGTATGGCAATTCTTGTCCATTTGTGGAAAAAAAAAAAAAATGCTTTAGAGACTAAGTGAAATGGGGAGCATTGACACTAAGAATGTCAGAGGAATGGTACACTAGGGAAATTTTGTCTGAAAGGAAGAAAACAAACATCATTAAGTTATATTCACCAGAAATCATATTTAAAGGAACAAAACAGGAATGTAGTTCCCTTTAGCTGATAAAAATATGGACAGCCTCTCCCTTCCCCTCAAGGTCCCAGGGACTGAAGACTGGGAGTTGAGGCAGGGTCAGGGTCAGAGGTACAAACTCAGGAAAAGCCCTCAATATATTAAAAATTCAGACAGAAAGGATCATGGTCATCCCGGCCCTTAGGTGGGTTCTCGTGGACTCCCAGGCCACAGTAGGGGACAGTTCTCTCGAAGTATTTTAGCTCACTGATAGAGAGCATCAAAAGACTGTTTTCAAACTCAGTTGGCTCCTGGAGTAACAGCTACTAATATCCTGTATCTCCAGCTTATTTTGGCTCCATGGAAGAGGAGATGCAAATGTTTTGTGGTTCATGATGGAAAGCTGGTATGCAATTAGAAATTTTTTTTTTTTTTTTTTTTTTTTTTTGAGATGGCGTCTCACTCTGTCACCCCGGCTGGAGTGCAATGGCATGATCTCAACTCACTGCAAGCTCCACCTCCCGGGTTCAAGCAATTCTCCCGCGTCAGCCTCCCGAGTAGATGGGACTACAGGCACCCACCACAACACCCAGCTAATTTTTATATTTTTAATAAAGACAGGGTTTCACCATGTTGGCCAGGATGGTCTCGATCTCTTGACCTCGTGATCCACCCACCTCGGCCTCCCAAAGTGCTGGGATTACAGGCATAAGCCACCGCGCCCGGCCAGAATTTCTTTATTCTTTCATTCAATATGGTGTTTATTGTCTTCCATGTACCAGACTTTTTGCTAAGATAAAAGAGTAAAATACATCCCCTAAAAGACTTTAAATAGTCTAGTAGAAAGAAACTGATTATTAAACAGAGAAGATGACTATAAAACACTGTGATAAATACAGTAATAAAGAAATATTAAAGGAGCACTAAAGAGGCAGTCACTTACTAAGCCATCCTGTGCTGAAGTGGGATGGAAGGATTTGTCATGGAGGGCTGCTTTGAGGGCTGTTATTCAAGGGACAAAAAATGAAGGGCATTCCAGGTAGAGAGAAAGAAATAAAAAGCTTGAAATGAGAAACAGAATGGAGAAGGCTATGTGCCTGGGGAGGAGAGGACACACAAGCAGGTCTATGTCATCTTCTACTTAAGGCACAAGGAAGTGGCCAAACACACACACACGCGTACACATGTACACATTCCAGGCATATACACTTACAACATTTTATAATCACATTATGTGTTTGTTGTATGCATTTGTCTCCCCTAGATTATAAAGTATTTTGGTTTATGTTTTTAAAGAACAGGAATAGCATTTTACACATCTCTAAATCTGTATTATCCAATACAGTAACTAAAACAGTGGTCTATTAGGTTATCCTGGACCCAGTATACTATACTCTCAGTTTTCCTCCAAGTACATAGAAATAAGAAAGTCAGTGTCAATTTGTGTGGTGTAGGCTCTATCAATTCAACAATATTGTTGAATGCCTACTATGTGTCAGATTCTGTACTACACGCTCTGAAATAATCCGAAATGATAGAACACTTTCAGGATGTCTTTTGTGACATCTAATATCAAATGTCCATTTTATTGTGTGCCTGGTTTGCATTTCCTTGCAGACTCTAGTTTCATCCATCTTAGTATTCAGAATGGAAGAACTGTAGTGTGGCTCATGATCAATAAAGATTTGCCAAAAGGGTAGAACCCACATTACCTACAATGCCACTTTCTTTCATTTTTCTATTTATATTTGAATGCCTTTAGAATTATTTTTAGAATAATAGATGAAATGTATCTATATTAGAAATAATTTACTTGCATTAGCGTGAACACACTTAAGTGTAGAGTTTGATGTCATTTGGCAAATGTCTATACCCGATTATACCACATTCAAAATACGGAACATTTCAGAGGTAATCACTGCTAACAGGTTACAGCATAAATGTGTAGTCTGTTTTTCATACCTCTATATAAATATATGCACATATTTATATTTTTAAAACAGGATTATACTATGTATGTGTTATTCTGTATCTTGCTTTTGTTCACTTAATGTGTTTTGGATATCTTTCCATATCAGTTTATGAAGATTTATTTTTAATGGCTGTATAGTATTTCATTGTATGGATTATAATACTTTTCACAAATCTTCCCTTATTGACATTTATTCTTTTTTTCACTACTGCAAACAATGCTGTAGTGAATGGCAGACATCTTTGTACACATATCTTACATGCATGTGAATTTCATTAGGGTAGATATTTGGAATTGGAATTTAAAACTTACAAGATGAGCTTTACATTTTTATACATATTGCCACATTGTTCTTCAAAAAGGAATTATTAATTTACTTTCCTATTGAGAGCCTGTGAGAACGCCTGTTTCTTTGCAACCTCAGCAAAGAGGGATATTATCAGTCTACATTTTCAGCAAATCGCAATAGGTAATCATGTTTATTCTTTTATTTTTCTAATTACTAGCGAGATTGAATGTCTTCTTATATTTGCTGGTCATCTGTATATTTTCTTATTGTGGAATATAGACAACGTACATGAAACATATATGTGTGCATGTAAAACAGATACCTACACACATACATATATATTTTTTAACAAATCATAATATGCACACCATATGACCACTGGGCCAAGAAATAGAACATCTCCAACACCTCAAAAGCTCCCTATATGTCCCTCCCTAACACAACCCTCTCTGTCCACGTTAACACCATCCCTACTCTTTGCTTTGCTTTTCTTCATAGTTTTATCCCCTGTGTATATGTCTCTAAAGACCATATTTACTTTCTGTTTAAGGAGTTTATGTGAATCAAATTATATTGTATACTTTTGAGTTTCTTCTGCTAAGCATTATGAGATTCATCCTTATCATTGTATGTAGCTTTAGTGTGTTTATTCCATTG